CCCTCTCCCCCCCCGTCTCTCTCTCTCTCTATCTATCTATCTCTTTCCCCCTTCGAAGCGTGGCCCGCGTGCCTACCATCCGCCGGGCCTCGCCGGGCTGTCTCCCCCCCTCACCGGTCTCTCTTCCTCCCCCTGACTCTCTCTCTCTCTTTCTTTTTTTCCCGTGAACCGAGGCCCGCGCGGCTTACATCCGCCGGGCCCTCGGCAGTTTCTCTTCCCCTCCCCGACTGTCTTCCCCCTCCTCACCTATCTCCCGCTGCCGCTGGGCCTCTCCGGCCATTCATTTCCTTTCCTGCGCAGGGAACCCAGGTAAGACGCAGAGCGTTCCGTGCGCATGCGCACGGAACGCTCTTGCACTTTCGGGGGGATTTAAACATCCCCCGAATTTTTTTTCAAGTTTTAGCATTTTTGTGCACACGAAGGGACGGCCCCACGTATGCACAAACCTCTCCCTGCCCCCCAGCTGCCCCCGGAGCGCGGATTTAGATATCCGCACTCACGGGGGCAACTTGGCTATTAGTATAAAGATATGTGTGAATTAAACACAAACTTTATTTTAAGTCAGGGTGTTGTTTTTTTAAAAAAAGAAGACAGTATGTAATAGAAAAAGTCAACATTTATTTTGTTTGTGAATTCAAACAGTTTCAGGAATCTTTAAAAGTGCAAATGATTGGGGAAAAGATGTTGAGGGCAGGGTTATATAAAGGAGCTTCCCTTCCACATTCATAGTTAGTGCACATTTTTATTCACTAAAGCTGCTATGCAGATAGCCTAAAAATATAAAGTCTACCAGTATGTTGAAGGACCCTGAGAGGAAGTTAGTGATGTATACTGGCCAGAGAAGCCGGATGAGGTCTCAGGAAATCCAGGCTAACCCCCTTCCCCCATCACCAAATTACATCTGACATGTAGACTTGTAGCTATACAGAATAGGATTACTGCAAACAGTGCATATACTCCATATATAATTTATATGCCACTATTTTGTTTTACAGAAAGATGAAATCAACATTCACAAGGATGAATAAATGGATGAGACGAACTTCCCCGGAGTTCACATTCGTTTCGATGCGTCTTTTTCACATCAACCCTAATAAAAAATATTTTTGTACAATATAAACTAGGTAATAAAACTTAGTGGCAGAACTAAACCACATCCTATCACATTGAATCAATTATACTAAATTTTAATCTACTTATGGGTAGGTATTCACACCTTCACTACCACTAATTCATGTAATGTTCAATCTTAATTTTAATGTGCTCAATGTGTAGGAGCTCTATGATAAACATAAGTCTTACTCCCACGCAATTGTGCAAACAGGTAGTTGCCTCTCAGCTCCAGGGGTTCTTGGAAGACATTGATTTTCTGGACCCATTTTAATCAGGCTTCAGGCCAGGATTTGTAACAGATTTTGCTATGATTGTCTTGATTGATGACCTCTATGGAGAATAGATGGGGGAATATGACCCTGCTAGTTCCAGTCTGAGAAAATGAGTATTAATGCAGCAGATCCTTCAAACAGCATTGCTTGCTATCTCGGACATTAGTGTTTGTAATTGTTTAGTATACACTGATGAAAATTTCTCCTATTTGAGTTTAATTGTGTTGTCCATGTTTTCATTCAGTTGAATTAGGACCATCAACAAATTATAGTTGATAATATTTCTGTTAGTTAATTGATTTACTGCATTACCGTTTACTACATTACCAGATCTCAAAAAGAGGTGGAGGAAGATAAAAATCTAAAACTCAATAAACAAAACAGCCACTCATAGTTGGGAAGAAACCCAATTTTTAATATTCATTCTATTAGAACATCACACCAGAATCAAAATAGATTAATACTGGATGTGTCCTTAACAGACATTCCTATTAATTAAATTTTCCACTCAGTTAGAGATGTGACACTTTGCAGAAAAACTGGGGGGGGGGGGAAAATCCTTTCTCCCTCAAAAGCATCCCTTCTCTGATAGAAAAATTGGAGCTATTGGGAAAAGTTGAAAATATTTTTTCCCTGAAATATTTGCTCATTTAGAATGAGTAAAATGTTTTTCAAAGTAAGGTTTTAAACCACTTTGTTAATTCTTTTCTCCATGACAATTTAAGAATCAACAGTATTACAGTTCTTATACACTATCAATACTCAGATTCTCCTGTCATTGTTCGGCAGTGCATACAAAATCAAGAAGGAAGCTACCATGAAAGAACAGTCTGTTTTCAATACCATCATAAACAGAAGCTATTGGTTTTTCAGAAACACTCTGATTAAGGGGGGGGGGAAAGGAGCATAGCATTTTGAAGGAAATATGCATGGATACAGGAGGTTAATTTTGTTCCCAGTGATTAGAACACTTACTGTGTCCTGAGGACAAGTTACATACTGATGTTACTTTAAAGTTTAAGTGTCCGAATTACTGGTAACTCTTGCCTGTGATTTGTTACACTTGAGATAAACACTAATTTCAATGTGTTTTTGTCATCCCTCCCCAATATTTGGAAGCAGCTTGAAGGAGGGACTGTTGCTCCTGCCGTGTACACTAACTTCATTGTTGCCTCTGGTAAAGAGATGTTAAAAGACTCCTGCATTGTATCTTGGTAACACAGAGACCCAGACCCAGTTCTCCAAACCACATTAAAAGAGCTGTAAAACTTAATTTTTAGGTCCCAACTTTTAGTTTCAGTATCCAAGGTTCAAAATAGTCAGTTTAACTCCCAGAGAGATTCTATATATAGTAGCATATCTGTTGTTCTACTGGTAGGAGACCTTTGCCTCAGTGGCCTTTTCTTTTACAACTACTTCAGTAAACACCCACTGAAGCAGCTTCATACGCACTACAGACTGCATTTCATCTCACCTTCATAAGCACTTTCTCCCAAATTTACCAAAGCTATGACAACTTGAATAAACTTCATTATATTCTGCTTAGAATCATATTTCTCTTATGGATATACGCCCTATTGATAGCACTCAATACAGCATTCTCCCCCCCCCCCCCGAATAAGCCTCCCAACATTTCTACAGTACTTAACATCCTTGTTGTGGATGACTGCATGCCTGACCCATGTAAACACATCTATCAGTAAAGTCCAGATCTGCCAGCCTATTTGGTGTAGGAACATATTGGCAAACACAGCCCATAAAAGACACAAAACATGAATTACTGTTCCAAAGGGGAAAATTCATTTCCTTCCAAAGTTCTCAAACCACAAACAGCACAAACCACCTGATGCTCTACCCACTCGTTTCCGCTAACATTTCCATCCCCGTAGATCAAGATGGGTAGCTGTATATTACTCTGAATGTAGCAGTAGAAAAGAATAAGAGTCCAGTAGCACCTTAAAGACTACTGCAGTAGGGTAAGAGCGTTCACGAGTCACTGCTCACTTCTTCCATCTGCACTTTGCTCTGCTCCAAACTAAACAAACTTTCCAGCTATTCCAGAGAGTAGCTTCTATAGCCAAAATTACAAGGGGTTACAAGCCCTTATCTGTCATTGACAGTACAAAAAAAACCCCAGGTTCCACTGAACTGTACTAAAAAGAAAACAGCCATGCGAGGAAGCACATTTGGCACTGCAAGGCACAGACTGTGGTCAGAAAAACTGCTTGCCAGAATTGTCTCTCCTACGCAGTTCTTAAAGCTGCAGAAGCCTGCGCTTGGTTACCCGGCCCCAAGAGGCACTTGGCATCCAGACATGGTCTCCGCCCCAAGCATCCCCCACCCTCCCACGCCGACGACAGAAAAAGACTCTGGGCTGGAAGACGAAGAGATTCTTCAGGGGGCACAACTCCTCATGCGGCAACACACGAATCGAAAAACGATGCCTACCGCGACCATCCACACAAAGAAAAGGATAAGAACACTTTGAGAGCAGTGGCAACTTTAAGACCAACCAAGGTTTATTCGCGGTATGAACGCGCCCGCAGAAAAGCGCTCTAACGGCACTTAATTAACACGCGAGTGGAAGGAACCGAACAAGCACGCGCCCAACTGGAGCTCGCTGACGGGCGAGAGCGTGTGTGGGGTGGGGGTATTGGTCCTGGTACCTGCGAGCCCCGCTGCTCTTGCCACCGCGTCAGTTGATGAGCGCAGTCCCGCTGGTCGGCCATCTTCTCAGACCCCAAGGCTCCAGCCGCAAGAGGGAATTGAGAGGCGTCAGATTTTTGCACGGGACTCGCAGCGGGCTCTGAGAGGACAAAGGCCGTTCCGCTCACGGAAACAACTGACCCCCTCCGGCAGGCTGAGGAGAATAAGAAGCGAGCGCCGCCACAACGGGAGCGCCACCGGCGGACCCGCCCCTTCCTCACTGTCCAATAGCTCGTCCGCCTCGCTCCTTGGAAATGCCTACTGGTTTATCAAGTACGTTGATCGACTTTCGGGGAGAAAAAGAACCCTCCACGAAGGAGAGTCTCTGCCCGGCAAGAAGCTTGCAGGAAAAAGGCTTACAGAAACGAAGAGTCCTGCCAGCGAACTGTCCCTCTCCCCCGTCTTTCCTTTGCTATTAATGTTTTCCGTGAAATAAGTTCCGTTATGTTTAGGGGCGCTTACGCGTTAGGACTTCATATTTCGATTCGGGTTTTATTTAGACCATAAGAGCAGCCGCCTTTCTTCACTGAGAAACAGGCATTATTTACAGTGAAATACACAACCCCAGCGAATATACCCGCTTAAGGATAGCACTGTAAGTGGTTCAGTTTGTAGGGCACAGGCACAAAGCTTAGCTTTAAGGTTTGTTTTCTACTTCTCGATTTAGCATCTGTAGGAAGCTTTACAGCCTATTTGATGATGCTATATAAACTCCAAAACAAGCAGCTCCTTAAATGTACCTATTTTAAAACACACACACCTTGCAGTGGGATTGCAGTTGGGCTTACTCCCCAAAGCCAGGTGCATAGGAATGACATTAATGAAATGTAGTATAGATTATATTATCACAACCATGTGTGGTTTCAGTTTTGGATGACACAGACAAAAAAAATCTGAAAGATATGATAGCCAGAAGAACATGATAAGGCAACCTCTTAATAAATACATCCCCAATCTTCTGGGGCTTTCTGCATTCCAGTATCGTCCTACTTCATTCCCATGAATCAAATAGCTTCCGTGCCCTTTCTTATGTGGAAGCAGTTTGCAATTAACCACTGAAGATTTTGGAGCAGTGTATAATAATCTCAGATGAAACTTAAAAGAGTGATAAAGCATCTCAAGAAACAAAATTGTCATAGCAGCCTGAAATTTCCAGCCACTATGATAAATAAAAGACTACTGCTAGACCGTAAAGTTGAGAGGCAGAGGGGTGCAAACCTTTCAGCACTAACAGATCCTATACCAGGTAAGAAACCCACATTTAGGGCAGTATATTGATGATGGTTTAATTCAAATGTATGTGTAGTCTCTCCAGACGGTCTCATATAACACTTGAACAGTAGCTAAGAAATTGGATTAATAAATCCTGAGGAATAACAAGCAGTTAGGCATTACCAACCTTTGTCCCTTTCAACTACATTGCATGTCTAAGAATAATCCTTCAAATACCTATTGCCCCTTGCTCAGCAGTATCAAAGGTCAAACAGAGCATATTTACCCACACTGTTGTTCAAGGCTTCATTCTTAATCAGTATATTTCAAAACAGCAGATTTGTTTACAAAGTATACATAGTTTACACTATAAACGTTCCTCTTATTTACTCATACTAATATAGACAATCCTGTCGCTCATTTGTAACATCACGCTAAACTATGGTTAAGGGAATTTACCTATGGTTTAGCATGATGTCTGAATTAATATATGGATGTCATTGTCAGCCAAAGCAAAATCAGAATACAGCCCTCTTTCAGATCATGTTAACTCTGGCTTGTGCTGATTTTGCTTCATGTACAGATTGGTACTCCATATTTATGGCCATTGCCCCACTCCAAGAGACTGCTTCACCATGCAGAGAGGAGTGAATGTGACTCTATGAACTTGAATGCTGAGAGGAAAGAAAACAAAAAGCAGTTCTAAACTAGTGTGCTGTCGTACATTTGGAAATTCAAACCACACGTCCCAAACTATGGTTAGTGTAAACTCGTGTGTTGTAATGTCTGAACTGGGCAAGTCTATGGACATTTGTAATTACCCCATAATTCAATATCCCAAACTGCTCTAATGTCCAACATTTTTGCAGCGAGAAAATAATGGTTTGTTCCTGCTACCACATTAATATTTCAAAAGATAGGCTGGCAGTAAAGTCAGCCACTTTATTTATATTTTAGATTTATAAATCACCCAGTCCCTGTGTACACAGGGCTCTGGGCGATGTACAAAAAGTTAAAACCAAAGATCAGAAGTTAAAATCCATAGATTCAATAGATACATTCAATAAATTCTTAAAATGGTCTCAAGATGGCATAATTAATCTGATCCTTAAAAGCCCATCCTGGACCATTTCACTGCCTCACAGGAAGGGCACAAGGAGGGAAAGACAAAAAAGATGGAAGAACAGGGGAGGGTGCCAGCTATGATGGAAAAACCATTGCTGCCCTCAACCAGAAGCCTGTTGGAACATCTCTGCTTTACAGACCCTGCAGGATTCCGTGAAGTCCCACAGGCCCCTGATGGTATTTGGCAGAGTTCCACCAGGTCGGAGCCAGGACCGAAAAGGCCCTTGCTCTGGATGAGGACAGCCAGATATTTTTGGGGTTGGGGATCACGTGAAATATGTAAAACACAACTAGGTATGTAATCCCCACCCCCTACCTCTAGCCAGACTTTCATACTTTCCATTGTCTGTGTATGTCCTCTCTTCCCAATACTGCTCCTGGGAACATATGAACCAGTTTCAGAAACTTACTTGCGAAGGTCTTAACTATCGAGAGCACAAATATCCCAAGGACTGCTCTATTATCCAGAGAGTGGCAAATCCTTCATTCTATAATATCACTTTGGGGTTTGTGAGGCCCTGATCTATGTGAAATGAAACTATGCAATAATCCTCTCAACGTTTGACATTCTTTGAACCTTGATGGAAATTGGTAGAGCTACTGGGGGACTGATAATTCTTTGTAAATTATACCTAAACCTTGAGTGACCAGCTCCTTATTCTTAGTCGGAATCACTGGAAGAAACTACCGGTAATAGCCAGGTACTTGAAATAAGGGTTGTGTAAATGTATATCTTGTTTATTTAAAACATTTCTAAACTCACCCTTCTCCCAGATAACCGGGACTCAAGGCAGGTAATGATGAGATCAGCACCACAGGGACAGATTATGACAACTACAGCACAAATTATATGTATTACACAAAATATTTTAACACGTTTTTTCTAAACCCAAAAAACCTTCAGCATGACGGGGGTCAGAGTGGGAAAACACACAATAGAGGATGTTTAACTCCTTTCAGCTGAAAATCAGAATTGCTTTCTCATGTTGGGGAGGAAGCAGGAAGAAGATTTTAATAGGTTCCCCATGAATAAAAAAGCAGCCTGTTCTCACTCACCCTTCTGCTCAGATACAGCTAAAAACAGTGGGGAATTTCAGACAGGCGACAGATTCCGGAAGGGAGCTGGTTCTCAAACGGGTTCTGGTCTGTCATTTCAGACAGAACCCGTTTGAGAACCGGTTCCCTTCCGGAATCTATTTGCCATTTCATACATAAACGCTTCAGTCCTGTTTAGGAACCGGGACTGAAGCGTTTTACCAGTCATCCACTTCCAAGTGGTCTCCAGTGCCCTCTCCCGGTTCCGATACACTTTTTCCCCGCCTTTTTTCGCCCGTGCGGGCGATCTCCGGCTGTTTTTTTTTTAACGTTCACTTTATAACGTAACGGAATAGCATTATATCAATCCCATTGGAATGCATGGAGTGTTTTGTTATACTGCTATAAATCGAACGGTTTTTTTTTTTTAAAAATGATCACCCGCGAGGGAGGAAAACAGCGGGAAAACAAAGTGGTGCAAGTCTGAAATGCCAAACCGCTTCTGATCCAGCTCATTTCCGGTAGGGGCAAGCCCTGTGTGAAATGGCAGCCCTGTACCGGTTCACTTCAAAACGGATGATTGCCGGCTTGAAACCGGGTGAAACTGGGTAATGTGAAATTCCCCAGTGAGAAAGAATCACAGAACTCTGTTTTGTAAACCAAGAGCCACCCTTATGCTTGAGCAAGAAGCAGAGATACCTGAATCCAGGGGTCGTTTCGTAGAAAAAGAGCTAGGGGAACTCATTAGCATAACTCATTAGCATATGCCACACCCCCTGACATCAGGGGCCCGGCGGTGGACCTGCAAGACCGGCGGGAGTGCGAGGAAGCCCCGCCAAGGCCCTCCCTGGCCCCAGGCAGGCAGGGGTGGGGAGAGGCGGGGAGGAAGCAACTTACCCTCCCTCTTCTCCTGCCTCCTCCTGGCTGAATGAGGGCTGGAAGCGGGACAGCCCGAAGCAGGGGGCGGGGCTTCGTTGTGTGTCCCGCCCCCCTGCACCTCACCCGGGGGAGCTGCGATCCCCCGCGATCTCCCCTGAATCGACCTCTGCCTGAATCTGATTTCCTTAGGCACATATCCCCGCCGAAAAAAGATCAGTTTACAACAATTATTCTTTTTTCATCTTATGCATATCCAACCCGTGTCTTTGAAGGGAAAAAGCTGGTGCAGTATACTGTGCATGGATATAAATATGTAGTAAATGATGAAATTCCTTATACCTAAACTTCAGTTTATTTTATATAAAAAAACAGAGCTTCTTTGAGATTAATTATTATTACTAGATTTATTCCTGAACTGTAGCTATTGTTGGTCTGGACATTAACATGCAATATTATTGTTAACTTTACTTTTATGTCATTGGTCCATAACCCTTGCAACATCTTTTTTTTGCAGTAAACCACGACTGTGTACACAGAACTAAACATGTGACTGTAGTCAGGATTTTTTAGTATGAGCTGAAGTTGGTTGTCCTCACTCCCTCCCCAGGATTCCCAGCTAAAATTACTATGGCATGACAATACTATGTTATTATTTAGTGTTAAGTCACTCACTTAACAAAGCAGTCGGAGAGTGATTCAGCAAGAACACAACTTTATTCTTCAACTCGAACACCACTCCAACACGGATCAACATCTGATAGCCAGAACAGCTTTTACATTGCAGCTGTTCTGCTTTTAAACTCTCCCGGCTAATGTAGCCACACCCACTGTACAAATACCAACCAATAAGGTTGTTCACATAAAGACCAATCACGGCCGTTC